TAATCCATTAACTAGTGATTTCCTACTGTTTATTTTTTTCTGTAAATCTGTATAACTTGTACCCTTTCTCTGCTTTTTTTCTTTTTCTCCTTAAATATAATTTAAAAAATTATGTTAACAAGGAGAAGAAGTATCTTAGGAGAAGATCTCCATGTTGCATTTCACTACAGGAGTGAAATGCCTGCAGCTACAGCATTTATTTAGTTAACTGGAGTTGGAGCCAGGTGTCCTCAGGTGTTATCTTGCCCTGGTCGTGCAGCAGCCCTGCATGTGTTGTTCAATTTCCAGTTTCAATGGCTCCCTATGTATTCCTCCTTTTTGTTTAATGGTTACATGGGATGGGTGGTCAGTTGAAGCTTGAAGAAGCTGTGTTAGGAGAACTCTTGCAATTTAAACCCCAAACAGTCCATCAATCTATAATACTAATGACTTATCAGTGTAGCCAGCAATTGTCAGAAGGCAGTAGTGATTCGAGCTTCTTTTATAGCTAATATTTTACTATGGCATTGTATTATATCTTTTGAAGTTATATTTTCTATAGGAGGTTCAAGATCAAGTTAAGGTGAGACCTGTATTAAATATAATCAGTTCATTGTTATTTATCAAAGTCAGTTAGGTCTCCTCAGGAATTGCCTTAGAACCATGCATAGCACCTCTTGGATTTATAGTCAGTGTCAAACCATCAGGATGAGTCATGGCCATTGCTTGACCAAGTTGCTTCCCTGTAATCTTGGGAGATTTTGTCTGCTGGTGACTCTCCTTAAGTACACCATTCATCAAACCTGATTTCATAATCTTGATCAGAAGACCAGGGAACCTACTGAGTATCTATGGATGATGCAAGCAGAGGTTCTTTTATGTCTTGGGTCCTCACTGACCTTGAATGCTGGGGCAAAATATTGGCTATCCTCTTTGCCCATCTGTTTCTCTAATTTTTGGTCTCTACTCAGTTGTTGAACATCCAGAAAAAAGATTAGTAACTAACAATACAGTGTAGTAGAGGCAGTGAGCTTGACATTACTATCTTAGCTAAATATGAAACACTTTAGAACATTAAATGAAACTTACTTTCTATTATCTATGGATATTTTAACATTTGAATACTTATAGAGTATTAATAGTTACGTATTTTACACAGAAAACTAAAAATCAAAACCATACATATTATTGTATAATGACACTTATGACATTTTGTAACAATCTGAATTTTTGTTTTGATATAAAATACCCCTTTTAGTCAATCATCGCTATCTAATACATAATATGCTTTTATCTAAATTATTGACCTTTACTGGAATGTGAATCTCATAGTTTTTTGGTACTAGCAGAAATCTGAATATAAAACAATTTTGTCACCATATATGATCTCTGTTTTCCTTTTTGGAAGACCAGTATATCTGGAAGCATCAATACATTAATATACTGCAAAGTTAATAACATCTGTCATAGCCATATAAAAACCTTTGCATCTGAAAACTTTTAAATCAATAAACATTGTATTATTTCTTTTGATGATGACCAATGTAAACATATTACAATGATATATTTTGTAACCTTAGTTGTGGTATCTCCCAAAAGGCTATAGAGATTATTGGGACCTCCAATCAATAAACAAGAACTGGTTGAAAATGTGGAGTCCTGTTCAATAATCTCAACACTGAGGGATTTTGTTTACTCATCTTACTATATATAATTCATATATGTTAATATACTATATGTATTATATATATATTTGGATGACTGATGAAAAACCCAATCATAACATTTAACTCATTAATTTTTTTAAATAATGACACTCTCGGGCACATAATAAATGATAATATATATTACATCCACATAACCAATCTTTGTATCATTTGGACCAGTTGGCAACCCAGGTGGCATTTAGACCAGGTGGATGCATACTTTGGAACTTTATAACCCAAATAAATCTTTGATCCATAAATGCAAAAGGAAAGGGGCTGGGGATTTAGCTCAGCGGCATAAGCACCTGCCTTGCAAGCAGGCAGTCATGAGTTCGATCCCTGATACTGATAAAAAAAAGAAAAAGACAAAAAAAAAAAAAGGAAAAGGAAAAAAGAAAAATTGTTGATCTCAAAAGGAACAGCTATTTATGGAGCAGACAAATGGACAAACAGGCATATATATGATCTGATAGATATCTGTACAGATTCAAGCAACCACCTGTTCTGTTCACCTCCAGCATCCCATGCCCTCAGGTCGTTTCTCAGGTGCTCCACGCCACTTGAGCATTCCTGTATGGCATTTGTGTTTTTGGCTCCATACATGTGATCCATCACTAGCTCACTTGACTCCCAACAATTGGTTATAAACAGACTGCACAAACAGACAACAGATACACAGGCAGACTGACAAACATCTTACAAACCACAGTGCACTCAAATATATTGTTAGCCAAATTGAATTACAATAATTGTTTACAAATATAAACATACAACTATAAATTGACTAGTAAGATTTGTTATAGGTCAACTAGCAGAGATCTCATAAAAGGATTTAGTGAAGACAAAATCTTAGCTATAACTAACAATTTTATATTTTATATTAAAAATACTAGTAGCTTATGTGTCCCTTTCTTTCATTAAACTTTCAGTTTAGTTATCTTTTATGTACTCATCACCTGTTTAGGCCTTTGGTTTTGTTTTTGATTACCGTCTCCTGGTATTCTGGGTCAATTAAGGTTGGTTTTAGTTTCACCAGTTATATGGTTTCTGAACTATCAAAGTCTGCTTCTGAGGGGTTCAGACCCATGATACAGCCGGACAGCATGCTCTGGCACCCAGATAAGCCATTTAGCATTTCCTGGAAAGATATAAGCATACCCTCAACCCCACATTAGCGCTGACTGGTTGTTTTTATTGTCCAGTATGAAGATCTTTCCAATGGATTTTTTTAAACTTTTATTTGATTGTATTATCTTTCTGCTGTGGTAGTTACATCTTTATTACATTTTAAAAAATTTTAAATAGTATATATTGCTAGGGAAATCTGTAATGAGGTGAGCTGTCCTTTTTGTTTTTTGAAATTTAAATTGTGAGCACATTTAAATACTTTTAGATCTGAAGATTATAAGGAATTTTTGTGGTAAGGTCTAGAGAAAAAAACTGCATTTTGTATTTAGGCACCTTTGACTCTGTCTTGCCATTGTCACATACAGGTTGTGCTCCTGCTCTGGCCTGGAGACCCCACCATTGTTGGGGATCCAGGCACCAGTGCAGGGTAAGCTTTCGATGCATAAAGCATGTGAACAGGTGATGTGAAAAAGCAGAGTGGCTCGAGTGGGCCAGAGCCATCTCCTACTTCTCCGGAACCGTGTCCCATCTTCCCGGCCCTGGACCCAGCACTGCAGTGCTGCGGGCAGCAGGCCAGCCCTTGAAAGGCTTGGCGGTTCCGGTGGAGTTCAGTCCTCAGCATGTGGGAGGCAGGGATACAAACCTTTAACTCCACAGAGCAGATTCTGCCTCACCAGGCCAAACCCAGGAAAAGTTCTTTGTGTCTTACATCATTTATATGTACTTCTAAAGGCAAAAGTCTGTAATGTTTTTAGACACTGATGGTTAGAAACAAACCTTGGGATATCTCTCCCACCCACTGAAGGAAGTTTCCTCCACACCCTTGTGGCTGCTATTCTAAACTGATCCATAAATTGGTAACTCAAAAGCAAGTCAACTGCCCGTGGCAGCAAAGGCACTCTTTGTACCCCTCCAGGTTAAATCAATTTAGCACTGTACTAGGGTGAGAAACATTACTGTGATCTGTAGTTGTCACATTCAGAGGCCTTGCCATAGGCCCATGGAGTTGGGCAATAATGAAGCATTTGTTCCTGTGTCTAAAAGCCCTTTAAATGCTTTTTCTTTAATAATCAATTTTATCTCATGGTGTGGTCCTGCTTAATCTTTTAACCCTGTAAATTTCTGAAGATCCAAAACCCTTAGACACCCTTCCTTTATTTATAGATTTTCCAATTTTTGTCAAGGGAAGAATAACCAATTGAGCAATGCAGGAATTTGGGGAGATTTGAACAGTGCTTTGAGTAGATTGAACTGTAAACTTTATTTCCCCTTGCAGCTAAAATAAGCAACATTGTTTCTTTACCTCTCTTGTCTGGGCCAAGCTCAGGCTCAGTAGAGCATTCTGGTTCCCTCCCTTGCTTGGGATTTGATTTTAAACTGTTGCTCCAGGCCAGTTTCCTTGTGGCCATCCTAACAAGCCCTTAATCAAGAGGCTTCTTAATCAAAATCCACAAAAGAAAGTGTAAATATTGGAATCAAGCATACAACAAAAAGTTCCATATATACTTGTGATTCTTTAGAATGTGTTTGTCTCATGCCTAACAACTGGTAAAATTTATACTTTTTCCCCCCTTTTGGCTTCTTCTAAGCCAATTTTCCCTTTCAATTCCCTTAAGCCTGTTTCTCTTTGGCTTCTCTCAAGCCTATCTGCCTTTCACTACCTATTCACTTCTCTCACGCAAATAAGAAGTGTCCCCTCACCCACTGTTTCTTTTTACTCCAGTCCTTGTCTGAATCCAGGAGGATCAGAACTCTGTAGAACTGGGAGAGGCTGGTGCCTAAGATGGGGGGTGTCTCTGGATCCTCCATATGAATTTAAGGGGTTAGACAGAAAACACAGGAAATGGCACAGCCCTTGGGAGTGGTTCAAGGACTTTTCTAAGTAACAAATTAGGTTAACAAGGAGAAGTTGCATTTCACTACAGGGGTGAAATGCCGCAGCTTCAGTGTTTATCTAGCTAACTGGAGTTGGATCCAGGTGTCCAACTGTTACCTTATCTTGGCCATGCAACAGCCCTGCATGTGTGTTCAGTTTCCAGTTAAAATGGCTCCCAACAGATACCTTTTATTTTTATTATAAATTAGTATACAGTATTTGTGAACCACTGTATCACATAGTGATACTATTCAGTACCCTTCATGTTTAATTTAATATACCTTTTAATCTATTTATGTTTCCTTAAATAGATCTCCTGAAAGACTTGGTCTCCCCAAGGGACTTTGATGCTGTCACTCATCTGGCCCTCATCAATGCTGTATATTTCAAGGGCAACTGGAAGTCACAGTTTAGACCTGAAAATACTAGAACTTTTTCCTTCACTAAAGATGATGAAAGTGAGGTCCAAATTCCAATGATGTATCAACAGGGAGAATTTTATTATGGTACGCAATTTTGCTTTTTATTTCTTTCTTCTTGTAGTACACTAATAAATTTTAGAACAATAAAGTGAGATACTCATTAGTCAAACTCTGTCAGTCTAATTTGGGCTGCAATTCAATTTCCTTAGCTGCATTTTCAAAGGCTACTTGTAATTTGATACTGAATGGATATTATATGCACTGACAATTTTCCAGCATGTTTCTTTAATTCACGTAGCTGATCATAGCTACTAAGTGACTTTTTCATGTTGCATGAAACAACATTCTGGCATGTTGTAACAACATTCTGATTTACCCCACAAATCACTGACTTTGGGATGTTTTTCCATGCTATATCGTTCACCAAACAATTGACTTAGGTTCCTTATTGCTTTCTGAATTGGAATTGTTCTTCTCACACATGTATTTATATGTTTTTGACTAAACATTTTTAAAAATGTATGTCTGGAAATAATTGTTCATTCAGTTTTATTTAGTGATTGGCTATACTTTGTGGTAAAATTTAATACCCCTAGTATTGTTTTCAAAGATGTTTCTTTGGACTCTTCAGTTTAGTGTGTTATTCTTTTCGGTATCCTAAATCAAATTATGATAATTTGTTAAGTCATAAGCAGAAATGTAATTTTAAGCCAAATGTATTTTAGAACTAATGAGTTTTAGAACTAATAGTTTGTCCTATTTAAAGTTATATTGTAATATATATGTGTGTGTGTGTGTGTGTGTATATATATATATATATATATATTTTTTTTTTTCTTTTGGTCTTTTTGAGCCAGGGTCTCATTAGGCAGTTTAGGTTAGCTTTGAACTCACTTTGTAATCCAGGCTGATCTCGAACTCACAAAGATCCTCTTGCCTCAGTCTCTCGAAAACAGGGGTTACAGGTGTTCACCACCACACCCAGCTATATATTGTAATATTAAAAGACTATAATCACAGCAGATTTAGTTAATAATCAAAATATGAAAGGAAAATATCCATTTGTATAAAAACCAAAATATTTAGTGCCAGGTCTAAAAAACTTAGGTCTATTGTAGGAAAATGTCATTAAAAATTATTACACTAATTCTTGGAAATAGGAAAATTTTAAAGCAGTGGCAGACATGTTCATTTTAAAGATTGTTGAAAAATATACAATACCAGATAATTTGGTTAATTTCATAGAACACCAACCAAATTACCTAATTATCTAATTTGAGATCTTGCTCATCATACACTAGACCTTGGTGAACCCTTTCAAGCTTTCAATGATACAGGCAGCCTACTGCACACATGTGCCATAGATTTGCTACCATTGCACTAGACTATTGTAGAATAACTAGATTTCATTTTAGCTATGTGACTGTGATCTTGAAACTTGTAGTCATGATAATGTTAAAGTAGTAGGTTATTAGATAGCCAAGTCCTCTTTGAGATGAATATTGTTAAATGTGATTTACATCCAACTGGAGCTATGCTTTATTTTTGTAACAAAAATTTTTATTGTTCCTAGTAATATGCTTTAACTATTTTGAATTATCTCACCGAAAAGTAAAAATAAATCTAGAGAGCTTGTGATGACAAATGTGAAAATGTTCTGGGGAGTCTAAAATAAAATAAAATCTGCAGGGCTCTGGAACATAAAAATTCATTTAATTTCAGGGACAATTACCTAGATGCCCAAAATTATTATTTGCTATACCCTATTTCTGAAAAAATTCTAACAATGTTAAATGTTTTAAAGAAAGTTTTGATACGGGACTTTTATGGTCCTTCTTTCCTGTACAGGGGAATTCAGTGATGGCTCTAATGAAGCTGGTGGTGTCTACCAAGTCCTAGAAATACCGTATGAGGGCAATGAGATAAGCATGATGCTAGTATTGTCCAGACAGGAAGTTCCACTGGCCACTCTAGAGCCATTGGTCAAAGCACAGCTGATTGAAGAATGGGCCAACGCTGTGAAGAAACAAAAAGTGGAAGTGTACCTGCCCAGGTGAGAGGCTCTTGTGTAGCTCCTCCCACAGCATGAAGGGAAGGCGAGCATTGCAAGTGTGCCACAGTAAAACTCTTGCCACACCGCTTTTGAATTTTAAATGTCCTGCTCCTCTTCGTCTTCCTCCTCTTTTTCTTTCTCCTCTTCCTCCTCCTCTTCTTTCTCCTCTTCCGCCTCTTTGTTCTACTCGTTAGTATTCTTTCATACTCAAATTTTTCCCAAGGCATACATGTTTACTTATTGATTGATTCAGTACTGTGTTCCAAGACCTAGATTCAGATATGATTCAATATTTTTAGCTTTACTTTAGAAATTTTTCAGTAGATTTTCTCTGAATATTATTTTCATTGACAGCCACTTTTATTTTGTTGCTTAAGTTGATGATAGCTGGAGGGAAAATAATCTCTGGCATTGCTGGCAGAACTGCAAGATGCAACCAAAATTAATCAAAAATAAGCAGCTCTGCTGAAAGCCCCCACTGTGGCTGAAAGAGTAAAATCCATGCACAGTCTTTAATATCCTGATTGCCATTCACTTCCTCAATTCTACCTCTGCCAGTCAGCACATCAGCATTTTGTAGCACATTATCCCTTCATGCTTGTAGTTATGCCACATACATCCTGTTCCTTTCATGTCTTGGAGTCTCCATTTATGTTATTAAAATGCCCTTCTCACATTTCTTTGCCAGACATTATTGCTCGCTCTTCAGAGTCAGCTCCGATACCAGTTTTTCTAGGAAACCTCCTATGACCTGTCTGTTGGTCGGGCAACCCTCACTGGTGCCTCATATTTGCACTTAGCTGATGATATTTAATGCACCTTTGCATACTAGTAAGAAAGCTATATTAGTTAACACCATACAAACATGCTTAAAAATATAATGTGTAAACTTACGCCAGACCACAAGATACCCTGATAAATGGCATATAAATATTCACGTATATGTGGCAGTACAGTTCTAACACTCATTCCAAATAAAGGAAATGGTTCAAATATAGCTACCATGTGATAAGGTATTATTAGTAATGCTAAATTATTTTAAACTTATTGACTCAGTTTTCAAATTTTTAAATACTATTACATGTTTGCAGTGTGGGATGATTAGATTCATCATGGAGAATTGGTTCATGTACATAACACATCTCATTTCCTTTTCCTTCCACTTCTCTTTCTTGTCTTTCCCCTTCCCTCCATTTCTTGGTCCCTTTTCCAATTGGAAAAGATCTATCTCCCTGTTTCCTGTTACTGTACGGATCTTTTATTTTGCTCTTTAAGTCATTAACTCATTTATATTTATTCTGATTCAGGGAATTCTCAGGAAGAGGTCAAGACTGACGGGGAGGAAAGGGAAAGGGAGGTAATAGGGATTGGAGTTGATTAGAATATATTAAATGAATGTACCAACTTCCCAAAATAAGTCCCATCATCATGTATTATTAATAATCACTCATAACATTTTTTAAAAGTTACTTCTTATATGGATAGCTATTTTTATAAAAGCTTAACTGGTACTTAAAAGTGTTATTGAAAGAGATCTATTTGGAACTATAGATATTTTTGACTAGAATATTATTTTTTGACTGGCCAGTGGCATTCATAATATGTAGTCATGTATTTCTTAGTCTGCTTATAAAAGGTAAGGTACTCCAATCTAAGTATTTCATTTTCTTTTCTTTTACTAAAATATTATGCATGTATCATTTTCTATGACAATACATTTATATGGAAAAACTGTATTCATAAGTTGGCTAATAAGAACAGACAATGAATATTTAACAGAATTACTTTTAAAGTATATGATAAATGAAACAAGACTTTTAAAAGAGGATTTACAGTGGATTTTAAAATATTTGAAGTTAGGCATGATTTTTGCAAGTAAATAAAAATGGTTTCTTAATGTCTTAAAAAGTATGTGATAATTGATTCTTATAAAATACTTAATATATCTTAACTAAAGCATAATTTACTTTTGAACATTAATATGAGTTTAAATTACATTCTAAGTCAAATCTAAATTTAATCATATAGTTCATGTTAATCTTCATCTGTTTACCTTTTTACATTAACTTTTTATTTTTCTTGGCATTTTATAGGGAATTTCTTTTTATTTTATCAGAAATTCATAGTGTTAATGGTTCCTTTATTGATGTCCATAAGTCAAAAGCAGTGTTCAAATGCTTTAATTCTGTGAAGATACAAAATTGTTTAGGAATATTTTAACAGAATTATGAATGAATGCTTAATGAGTACCATATATTCTGACTCAACCATGTTCATTAGAAAATATGGCCTCTGGGTCCTGTCCACTGAGAAATTGAAAGCTGCAGCAAAAGAAAATTATGTTTTCATTTTCTAAAAGATATTCTTCAATTATGAAATAGTTTAGTTCACTTGCTCATATTAATCCCTGTGACTAAACTAGGCACAGTTAATTACCATGCATCCATTTTTCCAGGAGTTTTACAGACGCTCCCTGCATAACTAACGCACATCTAGGTAAGTTAAATAGCTAGATAAGATAAATTTAGTTTCCCTTTTGAACAGATTGAGAGTTTTCAAATACTTACATGATCTAGTGATCAGTGGCAAACTATTCTCCCTCTCCATCTTACAGCAGTAGAATCTACTCAACATTCAATGAAGGTAATGATTTGTGTGACCTAATTTTAACATTGTAAAAATGTTTCTAACAGTTACATTTCTAGGTTTACCCAAGTGTCAGTCTTTAATGATTTTATAGATGTATTCATGTAGAGATAATATTTAGAAAATACAACCCTGCATTTCTGCAATTTGATTAATATTAGTATGTATGAAGAGCAAAGAAGTAATAACTAAATATTTGCTATTCAGTTGTTTTGAGCAGATAAAAAAGACAAGGAATGGACAAGTAGAAATTATTTACATTTTGTTTTTATCTTTGAACAAAATTCTTACAAACTTCTAGATTTTATTTTACTGTATTACTTGTCTTATGCCAGATACTACAAATACTAAAATGAAGAAGAGACTAGATTTGACTAATTTGTAGTGAGAGTAGCAGGGAGTAATATAGCTATTTAACAAAAATACCTCCATTACTGCTAAAAAGTAAATATACACCATGTTAATATCTATACTATTCTGATGTTCTACATAACTACAATAAGTAGTATCAATAGTGTTGGCCCTTTACTACATGCCCTCAGCATGTGAGAGCTATTCCAAAGCTTTCATAAACCTTGTCCTTTAATTAACAATGCAATGAATTACATATTGTCATTGTCATTTCCTGTGTCTCCAAACTGAAGCTTAAAAGTTAAGGAATTTGCTCAAGTTCATCTGAATAAATTATTCATCATCATGTGACCAGCCAGCTACCAGAGTGTAAAACAAATCAAGTTGCTTAGAAGTATAAAGACCCCACTACTCACATGTTCCTTCTCTTTCCCGTAATAGATGGATGAGGACCACCTGGATCTACATCTCGGTTCTGCCAGTGGTTAGCTGTATGACCCTGAGCAAGTTATTTCATCTTCTGCCTTTCAGTTCCTTCTTCTATTACCTAAAGTTTTATTTAAATTAATCTAGTTTTAATACTCTTAGGACAATTCCTGGTGTACAATAATAGCAATAAATACATATGTACATACATATTAGGCTAGTAAGACATCCTGTATTTTCCTTCTTATTTCCTTTGTGAAATTTGTATCATAAAACAATTCTATTTTCACATTAATACTTACTTTTGATAGAAAAATGAAGTAACAATGTAAAACCCAAGTTACTTATCTGTCTTATTTTTCCCTAAAATGGGCCTGCTAAAACTGTTTTCCTAATTGCTCCTCTTCTTGTCTAAGTTTTATTTATGAAAACCAGTTCCCTCCAGTTCTAAGACATAAAAATGATTCTAATATAACTTTTAGTGACTATCATAGACTTACCTCATATATAAAGATATAACCTAACACAGCCTAAAACTTCATATTTATGATACTATTAATCGGAAAGCAACATCCTGAAGACTTACTCATATATAAAGATATAACCTAACACAGCCTAAAACTTCATATTTATGATACTATTAGAAAGAAACATCCTAAAGAAAGGAAAATTTTAACTTTGACAGTTTTTTGTGTTTTTTTTAGTGTAATCAATACTTTTTGTAAAAATATTTGTTAATGCAGGCATGCTTGGTGCATATCTCACTAAAAAGGATATTGATCCAATTCATTGCACTAGAGAAGATTCTGTAACCTGTCTGGCTTTACTGTGGAATCTATCTATCTATTATTTATCTATTTATTTTATGGTACTGAGTATTGAACCCAGAGTTTTTCACTAAGCTGCATCACCAACCTTTGTATTACTGTGATACAAGGTCTTACAAAGTTGCTATGTTGCCCAAGCTGGGCAAGGCTTGTGATCTTTCTGCCTCAGCCTCAGAGAGTATTGAGATTAGAGGAACAAGCCATCATACCTGGAAAAACTATTTTTTTTGAAAATATTGTTCTATTTATGACCACTATACTTACAATACTTTTATCTTCTTACAAAATTGATGCACATTTGCATATAATAACTCATAAGTTTTCTAAAATAAAAATAAGAGCTATTGTTCTTTTGTTTAAAAAACTGCTAGAATTATAAATACCCACAGTTTTTAAGAAATAATGTTTAACTCACTTTCATTGATAAGTATTATTTTTAATAGCATAAGAACTGGATTATTTATGTCCGGCAGGTTAATATAGCCATCAAGATGCATTTTTTAAATGTGACCGGTTTTTTTGAGTTGAAATGCCAAATATATTAATTGTGCAACAGAATTTGGCTCTTGTTTATCTATGCATGGTGAGTGGGAGTTGAGTAAATAGCATAAATTGACCACAATGTTAAAAGAGGGAAACATCCTGGATAAATTTATAAGGAGTAATTATAAGCTTGAAAAGTTAAACATATTACTTATTAGGTAAAAAATACATATACTTAATGATTATTGATCTCAAAATTCGTTTATAGTATATTTAGTTTTGTGTTCAATATCATGTATTTTTCAATTTATGAATACAAATCCTATTGCTGTATCATTCCCTTAAATACCTCATTTTTATAAGCATGATCAAATGATTCTTGCAGTCAAAATTGAGATTTAGCATAATTTACACTCCATAAGGAAGACATTTAAAATCAAGATATTTAACATTCTATTCTTGTCCCAAGTAACAATATATTATAACTGTTTCCCCCCAGGTTCACAGTGGAACAGGAAATTGATTTAAAAGACATTTTGAAGGCTCTTGGAATAACTGAAATATTCTTTAAAAATGCAAATTTGACCACTTTGTCTGGTAAGAAATAAATATCAATTTAAAATATGTTAGTCTGTAAAAGCATCTAAAAATCCTTTATTTATTGTGGGGTTCTGAGGGAAAATATGGTTTTGCTTGCCAAATCTAGTAAGGGGCCAGGTGTATAGCTCAGTAGCCCAGTGCCTGCCTGACAAGCATGAGGTCATGAGTTCTATCCTGGTACCAAAATAAACAAACAAATTAATTAATTAAATAATAAATCTAGTAAGAAGTATTTTAAACTTCTAACTATAAATACAATCATAGCATTAAATTTATATTATGTTGTTCACATCTTATCTTCAATAAGATAATAAATTGTATTCTGTATAAGAATTGGCTTATACAGCTTGGAGTTTTATGTCTTGGAATTTTCCATTTTATCTGACACAATGCCATGTAGAATTGATAATCAATAAAGGTTGACTGAATATCTAAATATGTCCCTCTATAATAAATCATCAGAAGGGAAAAGAAGAGCAAATAAATGAGTGCCTCTTGCTTTGAGAACGAGACCGAAGGTCATGTTTTAAAAGTTAGAGAGTAAAGTGAGATTATGTAAACCTTTTCCTATATCTTCCATAAAAAATGATGATTTAGAAGAAGTACCTTCAAAGTATACTGGCACAATGAGATATTGGGTAATTTATTCTAAATAGCCCAAAGAAAAAAATCCACTTGAATTATTTGATTCAGATACCTTAAATTTTACAGAATAAAAATCATAAAATATTAGTTATATTAAAGCTTTTAGAATGTTTAAAATGCTTTTGGATTTTTTTTACTTTCGCATTTGTTTTTAAATGGCAAACCCCAAGGCCTTTATCACTGATAAAGGGCAGCAAGCCAGGCATGGTGATATGTATCTAGAGTCTCAGGAGGACTGCTTGAGTTTGGGACCAACTTTACAACAACCTGTGTCAAAAAACAAACATGTGTTCAGGCATGGTGGCACATGCATGTAATTCCAGCTATTTAGAAGGCTGAGGCTGGAGAACAGGAAGTTCCAGACCAGCCTGACCAATTGTAGTAAAACTCTGTCTCTAAATGAAAAAAAATCATTTTAAAAGCGCTGGGAGTATAGCTCAATGCTCTTTGGGTTCATAGCCCAATACCACCAAAAGTGAAGACAGACAGAAAGAAAGAGAGAGAGAGAGAGACAGAAAAGAAAAGGCAACAGAGGACTTAATGCCTAGTAAATTTATATAATGATTATTTTCTGTTTTCTGGTAAGACAATGACATGTGTATTAAGGAAAAAACCCTCAATTTGTAAGTTCTCTCTACATGCATGTTTATTGAACCCAATTTTCTAACTAGAGATTACTGAGATGATAGCAGTCCCATGAGTTACAGATAACCACTTAGATTTCTTCTCCTACATCAACAGCCTACAGAAAATCAAAGCTATATAGCTTGGAAATATAGCTTTTAAACCTTAATTAAATTCAAAGAAATAGGTGCTCTTACTTTTGAAATTCTTATATATGTGCTGTGCTCTGTTGTGCTTATGTGTGTGTATGCTATCTTGCAAACATGAGGGAAGAAATGAGGGAGAGGAGAGAAAGAGAGGGAAGGAGAGAGGGAAGGAAGGAGAAAGGATGAGAAAGGAAGAGGGAGAGGAATGGAGGAAGAGGGGAGAGAGAAAAACAAGGGAGCCACAATCTTCAAGAAAATTTCAAAAAGTTTATGATCAAAAAAACCCTTTACTCTTGCTCTACCAGAGTTAAAATTGTGTGGAATGTTTTCTAAACAATGCTCAGCTTCTAGTAATGAGTTGATATTAATGTATTTGTAACGTAACTTCTACTCTGGGTTCAGATAGCTTACAGCTCTAAGCCCTAATAGAGATTTTATAAATGTCTTCCATACAAATGTTCCTGTGCACACAAGAGAAATGAACTTGCCCTGAGTAAATGTTTTCATGGCTTACACCCAAATTCCAAGGGCTCTAAATTTCTCATTGGTGTTATCAAGGACTGGTAGTGATTCCAGAGATCATATGGAATCTTCATCCCTGAGTTAGAAATATAGTCACAGTTGAAGCACAGTATAAGTTAAAATACAAAAGCTCTCTTCCTTAGGAAATTGAGATAATTTAGCTTACCAAACTGGCAAAATTCCAACTGGATAATTACATTCTGCCTTCTTAACATGTCTCTTTTTTCTGTGTGATTAGTGATTCTGCATTGTCTCGCCAAACACCCAGATATTTATTTTTACACAAATGCAATATCTGCTGCCTCTGTAACACTGCCATGGCAAATCAATTACTGTGGTCAGTGTAGCTTATAATTTCTGACATATTTGGACGGTTTATAGGGTGATATTTAATTGCTTTTACTATGTACAGAGACAATAGACCATAACTATATATTAAGAATGCAGATTGTTTGGAGATTTGAAAAACTCTAAAATCTTCCAGAGTATTCGTGTGTTTTATATACAAAGAATCTTGTCATTTGATCAAGCCCCCACATGAACTGAATCCTTCTCAGTGTCTTGTTCACAGTTGTATTCCTAATACCTGGCACAGGCTGGTGACTATATGCCAACATTACTATAGTTGGCATATAGTAATGTTTGCAAGAGAAAAAAATGGGAAAAAGGAAGAGGAATTAAGTTTCTTTCTATTTTGTATGTTATAAAAATTACATTTCTTGGAATATTTGCCTCCTAAAACATCAGCCTAGTGCCATTAAGTCTACTATTTGCCATTTTTAAACACCATCTGGCTCAGGGATTCAGAAAGATTTGATAAAATATCTAAACCAACCCTTTCAAAGTTCAGTGGGCATTCTTGGATTCTTAAACTGTTAGGTGTCAATGATTCTTAGTAACCTCACAGATATCTAGGAAAAATTATTTGGATTTATTTAGTTATTACTTTGACCTTTATTAGGAATTACATGGTATTAGGACATATATATATATATATATATATATATATATATATATATATATATTCAGCTATCTTCTGTACCACATCCATTCCTTTCATTAAACAATTGCTTGTGAGGAAGATAATATAAAAACTGTACTGTGTCAGAAACATAAAGAAATGATTATGCTATCATGCCTGACCCATAGGGGCATAAGAATTTAATAGCTAAATTTGACAAAAGGAAGGCTAGTAAAAATGTTTCATTAGAGCAGTGGTTTTCAACAAAGACAATTCTGCCTACCACTAGAACATTGGGCAATAGCTGGAGTCTCTTTGGTTGTCATGACTGGGGAATACTACTGGGTCCAGAGACTAGGGATGCTTCTAGGCTTAACAGTGCACAGAACAGTTCCCTGCATAAAGAACTGCACAACCTAGAATGTCAGTAGTGAAAAGGTTTAAAACTAATATTAGCAAAAGCACTAAGGAAGTAGAAAAGAAAAAAATTAAAAGAAAAATGGTATCAAAAGACAGAAGAGAAAGGGGCTGGGGATTTAGCTCAGCGGCATAGACGCCTGCCTTGCAAGCAGGCGGTTGTGAGTTCAATCCCTGGTACTGATAAAAACGAAAAAGACAAAAAAATAATAAATAAATAAATAAATTTTAAAAAGACAGAAGAGAGTAGTTTTGTATATATTTATCTTGTATGTTATATTATTTTTTCACTTAAAACACTTAAAAGTTACAAAAATGTTTTTTAAAAAAAGTATACTAATAGTAGATTTAAGTAATAAGTTTTAAAGCACCCAAAGGCTAAGTCAGTTGTGACGCTGTAATATCCTTAGATTATGTAATGAAAGTTGTCTTTCTTCAAAAATCACAAATATAATTTAGTAATGGGAAAACAACAACCTTGTTTAACCTTCTTGTTTTTAGAAAAGCTGAGTGACTTGAGATCCCTTGCTAAGATCTCAAGTCCATTGTTTCATTGTTTATCTATTGCATCAACTCTTGTTTTTTTTTTTTTTTTTTTATGTCTTTTTTGTTTTTATCGGTACCAGGGATCAAACTCACGACTGCCTGCTTGCAAGGCAGGCGCATTGCATGAACTCTTATGTGAAATTCTTATTGCTGCTGCCCTAGACTATCTCAGTAGTCTTTTGATGGTTTCTAATCTTACTCCAATCTAATCTGTTTTGTCTACCACTGCCAAAATTAGTCACTTTGAAAAGTACTCTCAGATCCCACTTCTTGATCAAAGCCTGCCTTTGATCTGCTGTGCCTCATCTACTGCTTGGCCAGCTGTTGGCCTCAGCACCCTCCAGCCTTTACTCTGACTGATTCCTAACATGAAGCTTGTGCTGCAACTGCAATGAACGCTTGCTCTGTGCCTCACATCTACCCTGCTTCCCATCACTATAAAATCTCTCCCACTTGAAATACTTGAGTCTCAGCTTAGATGTCCCAACCTCATCAAGCCAGCATGAGGATACCAACCAGAAGAAATCACTTATTCATTTCCTCAGATTTTGTGCCTTTGTTGATGACATGTAGTATCTCAGCTCATATTGTTTTTATGTATCTAATCTCCCCTGATAGAATTTAAACCTCATAAACACAAATTCTTATAAATGTTTCCTCAGTGCTCAGCACCATGCTTCCTTCTTCAACACTCACTGAATGAAGCAATGACTAAGCTGAGATATTCTGTATTTATTAGGTTTGTTTCTTCATTTCAATTTGATTATCCATTGCTTTTGATGCTAAATTCCATTTACATAAAATAGACTCATGCCATAAACATGATTGACAGTGCTGGAAATCATTTTCTTCTCAGACTCTATTTAAAATGCTCATGTCGTTGCAGCAAGGATCCTGTTATAAAGCAGCACTATTTTTGTAATGGAAAAAATGATTGTCAGCATTTGAATTAATAGGTAATCCTCTTGGAAGGTGTAAGGGGAAGAGAAAGTGGTGCTAAATCCTTCAGCATAAAGTATGAGCTTTGATAAAGGAGCCAGTAAAATAAAGGAATTAAGAAGACACAGTGAAAGAAAGCCATATTCTTTCAGGGCAGACTCAAGTGCTGTAGATTTATGC